GAGTTCGTCATGACTCGCTATATATATATATATATATATATATATATATATATATATATATATATATATATATATATATATAAATATATATATATATATATATATATAATATATATATATATATATATATATATATATATATATATATATATATATATATATATATATTCTAGACGGGCGGTTTGAAGAGATTATGTAAATTATGTGACCATTTCGAATATTTATATGGAAACTCTAGATACTTAACACTGGCAGATAAGGACTAGGCCGAAGAAGATATAGGCGGTCTGGCAGACAATTTGTCCGGAAAACAATTGTATATATTTTTAGAACTACATTTCTTGGGTAAAATTACTAAACATGCGCATAATAAAAATTAGCCCTAGTTTTCTCAAGAGTTTCAAGAGAATGACTTCGACCTTAAAAATAAAATAAACAAAAGGCATTAACAAACTACAATTATCTGAATAATCGGGTTCCTCGATAAAACTATAATTATTTTAGATTTTTATCACCAACACCATTTTTTAATAACGAAATATTACCTATTTAGTCCATGAGAGCCAAAAATAGATGGTTTCCATTTCCCGAAGCCATTTGTTAAGAAGGCGTCGTACTGCAACCAATTTATTTATTGTCATATATACTTCATCTAATTTACTTACCGTTGCACGTCATCCGCCTCATACCCCGTGAGGTCACATGATATCAACACGAAATATTTAGGCGGTAGGTGTGTTCTTTTTTAAAATCACTTTGCCGAGTACACTGGCATTACAGCCACTAGACATATTTTTTTATATACGCGTAGAAATAATAAGATTTCTATTAATGTTAACTTAAATAAATACACAATAATATGTTTCATTTAATTTGTATAAATGCATTATAAAGCGTTTTTATAAAGAACATTTGTTCGGAACACACTGGAACTGTAATCGAGCAAAGGTGATATTTTGGCATAAATTGGTAACACTTATTTGACAGTTGCGATGTTGACACTTTTTGTACTTTATTACTTTGAATTTTAAAGTGAATACCTTTTGTTTTATATTTTTACCTATTTAATAAAATCTGTTCTTTTTAGAACAAAATTAGTGTGTTTTATTTCAAAAATGTCACGTAAGAATTTAAAAATCGTTGTAAATAGATGGTAATACTCTTGCAATAATTATGTGACCTATTTGATTAAAAATGGATTCAGGATTTTTTTATACTTTGGGAACTATGTCAACTTCGATCTCTGTCAATGATAATGACGTGCAACGGTAAGTAAATTAGATGAACTGTACTTAGTCAAGAACAAGACGAAAAAAAAAAGCGATGTCTTGGTAAGAATATAAGTCGATTATGAAAAATATGTGTATTAAATATCAAATGCCAGTTTGTTCACAGTGTAATGTCAAATACCATACTAAATAAACATTAAATAATTTTTTGTAATTATTGCAAATGTGATTCTTTTGACCTTGCTATATGGCAACGTGATTTTTTAGCGAATTTAATTCAAAAAATCTACTTTTCCTTATTCGTTACCAATTTTTAAAGTAAGCTAATTATTTGTAACTACATAGGGGAAGGGTGGGCAAGTTGACATAGCCGAGCAAGACGACACCACGAAAACTAGTCCATTATTCGTTCAGTCCACATGCTCGTTACAATCTACTCCAAGGCTGCCAGGTCTAGGGATTTATCCCGAATCTAGGGATATTTCACTATAAAAGGGACACAAGGACTTTTTTGATATTTAGTGTAAAATCTAGGGATTTTTAACCGGCACAAATATTTACCTACATATGTATAATATAATAACATTTTCTTTATATCAGGTATAAAACCACTTCGTATTAACAATATTAAATAAGCAATCTTTCATTACAAATAATTAAACTACTAGTAAACTACTTAAGGATTCTATTATAAGATGTCGCTAACTGTTCACGTTCTTGGAATCTTTATTTTATTCTACTAACTAGATTTCTGCCAAAAATAGATTCCTTTCCTATATATTTTCAGAAAGGAGAAGCAAATTCTGAGGCAGGAACTAGGGGATTTACAAAAATCTTAGGTTTTATAAAATAAATAATTAGGGGATTTACAGTAGGAATCGGGTGAATTACAAGATTCATGGAAATATATAAATGAAATTCTATGCTTCATTTCTCTTCAAGTTGTATTTTGTATTAATTTTATTAAGTGAATAATACATAATAATATATTAAATGAAATATTCAAAGCCATAAATAAGTACGTTATTCCGTTTTTGTTAAATTTATTTAAATCATCGCTATTGTACCGTTTAAAAATGTAATGTTTTTGAAATAAAGGTATAAAACAACAATTATTTTTTTATATCCATGTTATTATATTAGGCAACCATCAATACAGCCTATCATTTTATTCAGAATTAGGCAACCATATATACATTTGTTCCAATCTAGGGATATTTTAATGTTCAATTTGGGAAGGACAGAAATTTTCACTTGGCAACCCTGATCTACTCCATCATCACAGTAATTGTTTGATAGTCTTCGGGTATAGATGCTCGTACGTTTAAAAAAATATTTACGTTTTTGTGACATTGTTGCGTGTTGGTCCAATATAAGTACCACATGTTTCGTTATGTATTTATGCCATCGTAGCATTTCTTGTCATGATTTATTTTGGAGATAAAAAGGGTGTTCCTAAGCTTTACCTTATAATTACACAAGCTAGCGGGCAAGTTGAGATATAGCTGTGTCATCTTATTCTCTAAAGGACGGATCTATGAAATATTTCTGGGGGAGAGTAAAAAAACTCTGGACCCAACTTTTACCCAACTCCTTTAAAATAAACTTCTCAACTAATGTTTTACTATTAATATAGAAGTAAAAACATGGGTACCTATATATTTTTTTAATATATTTTTAAACTCTGACCTATAGTATTTTTATCCAGTTTTTTCTATTAATTTAAATTATGGTTGGACCTGTCTGGTGGGAGTAATTATCCCTATTGCTCCCCCTCGCCCCCCCTTGGCCATCACGACCTAAAATTTGCAACTGCTGTTTTTATTTGCAGATGGTTTCTAATTATAAAAGAAAGCCAACAGAGAGGCATGAAATGAGAAGAACATGGAGCGAGCGTTGCAGGCTTTTACCCAACTCCTTTAAAATAAACTTCTCAACTGTTTTACTATTAATATAGAAGTAAAAACATGGGTACCTATATATTTTTTTAGTATATTTTTAAACTCTGACCTATAGTATTTTTATCCAGTTTTTTCTATTAATTTAAATTATGGTTGGACCTGTCTGGTGGGAGTAATTATCCCTATTGCTCCCCCTCGCCCCCCCCTTGGCCATCATGACCTAAAATTTGCAACTGCTGTTTTTATTTGCAGATGGTTTCTAATTATAAAAGAAAGCCAACAGAGAGGCATGAAATGAGAAGAACATGGAGCGAGCGTTGCAGGCTGTAGCGGAAAAGCGCATGGGTGGGTTAAAGGCTAGCAGGCATTAACACAGGCCGTGCCATAAATCGAAATAAAATAGCGGTTAATACAAGAAAGCATCTTGCCAGACACGAAACAAGCTTAAATCGAGAACTAGAAGAGGCTCTAGTAGAGCATATGCTATCACTGGAAGCCAGATTTTTTGGCTTAACGACCGTACATGTCCGCATTTTGGCATATGAATTTGTCGTCTTCAACCTCTCGATATGTGCTTTTTTGGGCCACTAAGTAAGTACTACGATGCAGCAGCAACTCAATGGTTGAAGGAAAATCCAAATCGTGTCATCAATCTTTACCAGGTCGCGTCGCTTTTTTCTTTCGCCTACAAAAAAACTGCAATACCAACAATAGCTTTAAGCGGAGTCAAAGCAACAGGGATTTCACCTTTCAATCCTGATGTATTTCCAGAATACATGTATTTGCCCAGCACAGTAATTGACGTACCACTTGACGCCGATAATGCAAACACTGAATCACTTAATCAGGGTGTATGTTTCACTGCAGCAGAACATTTGAATGAAGAAGATCCGCAGTCATCTACAACAATAAATAAAAAGCCACATAACATTTAGAGTCTTTAGCTAATAACGTCACAAACGTTTTGTTGCAAATTCCACCTCTTCCTCAGGGAAATGCAAGAAAGTCCAGAAGAAAAAAGGCCAATAGTTTGGTACCTTAGAATGTGAAGATAAAGACATTCAAAAATATTGTCGAGATAAGAGAACCGGCCTATATAGCCTACCCAAATCTCAAGAAGGGTGGTTACGTTGCGAAAAGTGTCAAATGTGAGCTCATGCAGAGTGTGCGGGACTATCAATGCAGGCTAAGAATTTTATTTGTGAATTATGTTTTGATAATTGATCACTTTATGTATACATCCACGTATATGCTGTCTTGCCCTCTTGGGTAGGGTAGGGCAAGATGACATTTTGACTCTTTTTTTTACATTTACAGTTTTAAAATGGAGTTCTGTTTTTGTTTTTCACTTGATAAATATTAAAAAAGAATGTTATGTTTGTATTATGGCGCTTTTTAATTCATGATACCTTTAACATTTTTCAAAATTCGATTTTACCTTCCACTACCCACTTGACTTGCCTACCCTTCTCCTACATACATGTAAAAACTAAAAAAAGTGATGGGTTAAAGGTTGTGAATAAAATAATAAATGCATACCAAAAACACAGCCTGATTTTTAAATGTGAAATAAGTGCAACTAAATATTTTATAGATTTGTTTTTAACGAGGTTCCAAACTTCCACTACCGAGTTATACTCATATGACTGATTAGGTCAATATTAGGATAACTATTTTTCTTCTAGGTACGATTCTAGGTATTCATTTATTAAAACCTTGGGAGTTTTTCATTCTTACACTTGTTAAAACTGTCTAAATTAATATAGAAATAATTAACCTGTTTCCACTGTTTCTGATGTTATTACAACTTCGTTATCTTAGAACTATGACAAGACAGTATTTTAAAGTCTGATAAGCAAAAATATTAGTTTTATATCCTTGGAATGATGGGAGCATTGGTTTCTGAATGTTGTCCAGCATATTTCGGTCTACATACACAGCCACTTTCCACTAATACGTAATCCTGACCTGTTAATGTTACTGGTCCTAGTGGAATAACTAAGAAAAGGTAAGGAACATATGTTTGGGTACATTCTCCTCGAACTACATCGCATTCTGAACTTTCACATACCTGGTAATAAAAAACAATTAGGCTTCTTTATGTCAATAAGTTGTAAGTATTAATTTATAATATATCAAAATATAAATGTATAAGTTTTAGTTTAAAATATGTGTGTCGGTTTCAATTTAAGATTTTGGTACAAAAAACATTATTTAAAATACGATACATTCGAACAAAATTGCAATGGCATTGCACGTGAATTAACTTATATATCACATAATACAATACTTTGGTGGTGTTATCATAACACTTGATTTGTTGACATTCTTCAGCATTTTCTTTATTTGATTTGAGCGAGACATTGTATGATTCGCATGTTTGGCATTTATCCGTTTTTGGCAGTTTATATCCTATATTATATTGCGAGCGAAAAACTCTTCTGTAATAATTTTCTTTCACTGGGACAATAAGTTCGGCATTACACCAAGGTCTTATAATAAACTTACCAATATAATGTGTAACTCCTTCTGTTGAACAGTCACTTTCAGTAACACTGTAATCTTTATCATTGAGATCGTCATCTGAATTAAAATCAGAGAATTCACTTCCAATACTACTCTCAAAATCAACTTTTCTTTTAGCTCGGCGTAATTTACAGTAACCGATCTTGAAAATCGCCTGTGGCATATTCCTTTTGAAACCAAAAAGTTCTGAATTTTGGCAATTGTTAAGAAACAAATTCGTGTATAGAGGCGCCATCTCTTTATCAATAGCTGAAATAATTGATCAGCAGTTTCGTTGCACACTTGCAGGTATCTGTCGTGTTATCGAATAGGGGTTACAGGTAATAATCGTTACTTCACATAAACATCAGTTTATTCTCAACCCTAAAACATACATCCATGCCCGAGCTTCGGCTACCTTCACATGACATGTCTAACCCCCGTCATCCGTCATGATACTATAAACTACAGATAAACCCACGCTACAGAATAATAAACAATCAGAAGGGCCACTCTCAGATGCCGCCTTTGAAGTTTTTCAGCACGCGCGCCATGTTTTAGGAGGACACAGACATATGATTTGTGTGGTTATGTAATTGTTTATATTTATGTTTAATTATATTATATTTATGTTATTATATTTAACGATGTTAATATAATTGTATAGTATGTCTATGATTGCCGTAAGTCAAATAAACCTGGTTAATTTTTCCATGCACACCACATAAACAACACTAATTTCTTTAAAATCCTCCTAAAACATGGCGGAACGTCTGCGCGGAGGAGATGCGCGTACTTAATTTTCCGTGGAGAGTGGGTATTCTGTTTGTTTATTATTCTGTGCCCACGCGCACGCGATCAGTCGTGTGACGTCACTTGGCGACAAATGTCACCAGAAATGTTCTGTGTTGTATGGAGTTTTGTCAGATTTAGTCAAGGTTAGTAGATATTTAAGTATCTACTTAAATATCTACTAACCTTGAGATTTAGTTTTGTTTTATCGTTTATCTTGTACGTTGACATCGGTTTACTGGGTAAACCATCTTTCCGAAGGAGGTTTACTTCAACCATATCCAGATTTTCTAATTAAATGTAATGAACTGGACCATATTTTTAACAGTTTTAACAAAGGGTCATTAAAATTAACCAAGAATTATTTAAAATCGCTAATGGATTTAGCTGTGTTCAGATGTAATGTTAGTAAAGGTGTAAATTATATTTTAAAATTAGAAAATTGAATAGATAATATATTAAAGAAACATCCAAAGTTAAGAAGAAAATATTAAAAATTGTAAAATAAATTGTTAAATAAACTTGTAAATTATTACAGTGTATTTTATTTTATCAGTTGTATTAAATTTTTATTTTAATAAATCAATCCATTGTATATAAATTTCCATTTGCAAAAGGATGTTTAGTTCTTACTTTTTTATATAATTTTAGTTTACATTGCTATTCTAACAGAGATGTATATATAACATATTTTTAAGATTTAATTGCAGATATTTTACCTAACATCCCTTAATATTCTAAATATTTAAATAAAAACCCCTTTCTTTCCATATATGTTTGACCGACTGTGATGATAAAAGGTTGGTGATAAAAGTGACTTTTATCACCAATTGACGTCATGCGCGTCGATGTACAAAATTCGATTGCGAAGTGGGTTTATCTTGGAAGTCTTAGTATCATGGGCATCCGTGTTGCTTAAAGGTCGATTCAGACACATCAGTCCCGTCACAGTCTCGGCGCCGAACCGGTCCTGTTTGGTCACAGAACTATTAATTATCTGACAGCTGAGAAACTGTTCCTCGCCTGATGAATGGGAATGCCGGCGCCATATTTCTATTAAAGAATATTTTGTATGGCGGATTGTTCGGTTCGGCGCCAGGACTGTGACGAGACGTGACTGATGTGTCTGAATCGACCTTAAGGTCGATTCAGACACATCAGTCCCGTCATAGTCTTGGCGCCGAACCGGTCCTGTTTGGTCACAGAACTATCAACTATCTGACAGCTGGGAAACTGTTTGTCAACTGATGAGTGTGAATGCCGGCAACATATTTGTATTAAAGAATATTTTGTATGACGGATTGTTCGGTTCGGCGCAATCACTGTAACGAGACGTGACTGATGTGTCTGAATCGACCTTTAAGGTCTATTCAGACACATCAGTCCCGTCATAGTCTCGGCGCCGAACCAGTCCTGTTTGGTCACAGAACTATCAACTATCTGACAGCTGGGAAACTGTTCGTCGCCTGATGAATGTGAATGCCGGCGCCACATGGTACAAAGAATAACAGGTACGATACTCCCGAGAGAGAAATTCGGACGAGTTCCCGCATTACGTCACAATGAGAGTGATTTTAAACATTCCCCGTAAGAATGTTAGCAATCGGAACACAATTAATTTTTAGTTGGCAATAAAAAGTAATTTTATTGAATTAATAGAGTTTCTATTGAACTATTTCGGATTAATTGAAATATAAGTGTTTTATTATTTTTATTGAAAAAAACAATAAACAATACAGTGAAAAAAAAAATAAATCCGTAAAATAAATTTGTGAGTTTTTTTATGTTTTTCGCTTTTTAATCCTTGAAAGGTAATCTTCGTAAATTTTACGAGCTTGATTTTGATTGTATTGTCTTATTTGGCGCCAGTGTCGAGGAGGGAAAAAAGGCTTCGCCTAAACGTAAACGGAAGAAAATATTTGATCATTAATTTCCTCTCATTATTGCTACCTGAACATAGTTGGCAGGTTTTAAAAGGTGGTCATTTGCTTTGTCATATGCATAGGGTTTTCGAATCTTCATTTTATCGAAGAAACAACACATATTTTTTCATATTCTGATAAGTGAGAATTTTTAAAAATTTTTAGAACAGGTTTTATTATGCCTGGAATAATTTTGACTTTTTTGGTCCATGAGCCAATGCTTGAAACAGCAGGACATGGATAACCTTTTTTCAGCAATAATTTATATGCTCTTGGTCCAGCTGCATGTATGGCAATACCTTGGGAGACTTCCTAAGTAGTCCATACTGTTCGAAATTTGGGCTTTTGCTGTCTTTTGGTAAATATTTTATCTACTCCTGACTTCATTTCTGTTAATTCATTAACCTACTGAAGTAAGGCTTTGTTCAGATTCGACAAGAAGTAACTTTTTAAGTTTAAGATATTGTGCAGTTTCCATATCTGTATTTAATCTAAAAACAAAAATCATATTTTGATTCTACTATACATACTGCATAAAGTTAAGACTATTATATTTTCATTCAGACGACTGATCACAACAATTTAAAACATTTTACATATCCGTCTAATTTTATCGTTTCAGGTAAATCAGTTTTGAGTTCTTGACACACTGAGTCCACACCTGGTTCTCCAGCTATAGAACTTAAAAGTAAATATTAAGATATTACTTTTATCTTATAATACTTAAAGAGTTTGTACCACAAGATATAGAATAAAAAAAATTTTTACCTAGATTGTGTAATTATCTGTTCTACAATTCGCTTTGATTATCTTTTAAAAGACCTTTCTTGTCCTTTAAGTTGATTTATGGATAAGTTTTTGGATTGTAGTAAATCAAGAAAAAGGACCACCCTTCTGTGTGGGTCCTTTCTTTGATTCATATTGCAGCAATTCATGCTGAAAATTTCTTTCTAAGTCTTCCGGCTCAACGTGTTTGAAGCAAATCCTTGAGGTTCTAGTATTAAATTTGTCTTCAAACAAATTTGTCATTCGACAACAAGCAATAAAAGACCAAAATCTAGTTCACATAAAGTAGGTATACCTACAAAGCCACTATCACTCAAAAAAATCGCTTAAAGAGTTGAAAATGTTCTTAATAATATGTTCTTAATAATAATAATTCTTTTTTACTGAAATGCCTACATGTCAACTTAACTCTCACAAAAACACTATAAAATCTTCAACACAAGCTTATTAAAGACGTCAAAAGTTATAACATTGATAAAATTCCCATTATAAACAGATGTATTACAATGACGGTAACTCTCATTACTACGTCGACAGTAGGGGACTGGCCTGCGCAATATCATACCTGTTATTTTTTTTACCATGCCGGCGGCATATTTCTATTAAAGAATATTTTGTATGACGGATTGTCCGGTTCGGCGACAGAACTGTGACGAGACGTGACTGATGTGTCTGAATCGACCTTATCTCCCGCACCCATATCTTAAACTAGGCTAACAACACAGTATCTTTTAGAGGAAATCTAATTTTTTAGATTTATGTGGCTTGTCACCTTTTCCCACAAGCCCTTCAATTGTTCTGCATCAAAATCTGATCACGAAATTCAAATTTATTTTTTAATATATCATTTGATCCTAAAAATGGTTCTGAGAAAATCTTCATTGTTATACTTATGTAAGTTGGAAACTGTTTATACTTTTACTCAAAAGACAAAATACTACCTTTTAAAATATACTTACTTCAAAAACTACTTGTTGTAATAGATCAGGAAACTTCTGGACAATTGTTACGGGCTGGCCTGAAGTAAGAGAAACTCCGTACATGGGAGCTGTAGTGTTATATCTTGTTTTACATAATCTTTGAGGTGTAGATGCACATATGTTAGTAGGAGCCATACTTGCAGTCCGAGCTTTTGCAAAAAAATATATTAGTTCGTTAGTAAATATTATATTATACAAAATATGTAAAGAAATAGAAGAATTAGAACATAGACATGATTACTTTAATATGTACAAGAAGGTGAAAGAATTTTCATTCATCCACAAAAAACAACATTGCCCACTGGTAAATAACAACGGAGAGTTAATTCATAACACCAAAGATAAAATAGAAGAATGGGAAAAATTTATACAACAGCTGTTCCGAGATGAAAGAATAGACACTACAATAAATAATGTTACTGAAAGCCCACCAATTCTAAAAGTCGAAGTGGAATATGCCATTAAACAATTAAAGACCAACACAAGCCCTGGACCTGAAGAAGTTTATCCTGAAATACTTAAATTGATCGAAAGTAATAACATTGATTTGTTAGTAATTTTGTTTAATACAATCTACGATACTGGGGAAATACCAGAGGAATGGTTAGAATCTATTTTGATTCCCATTCCAAAACAAGCTAACTCCAGGCGATGCACAGATTTTAGATTAATAAGTCTTATGAGCCAAGTGCTTAAAATTCTATTAAAAATACTTCACAATAGGGTATACAAAAGGTGTGAAAAAGAAGTTGGATACGATCAATTTGGATTCAGAGCCGGAATGGGGACCAGAGAGGCCTTGTTTTCACTACAAGTACTGCTGCAGAAGTGTTACGACCAACAAAATGATGTCTTTCTATGTTTTGTAGACTTTGAAAAGGCATATGATCGCGTAAACCATAATAAAATGTTAAATTCCTTGCAAAGCATCAACTTGGATAGTAAAGATCTCCGATTAATTAAGAACTTATATTGGAGGCAGAGTGCCAAGATTAGGATCGACAATCATACATCTAGAAATATTAGTATAAATAAAGGAGTAAGGCAAGGATGCATACTATCCCCTATGCTGTTCAATCTTTACTCGGAACTACTATTCAAGCAAGCCTTGGAAAACCTTTCCACAGGAATAAAAATTAATGGAGAACCAATATCTAGCATAAGATATGCAGATGACACTGTCCTACTGGCTGATACAGACACAAACTTACAGGGGGTTATAGACCACCTTAAGGATGCTTGTCGAGAGTTTGGAATGAAGATCAACGAAAAAAAAAAACAAAAGTAATGGTGATCCAAAGAAAACAGAATATCCCCTTACCTATAAAAATAAATGGGAATATTTTAGAACAGGTAAACCAATACAAATACCTTGGCTGTTGGATTAATTGCAAGCTGGACCCAGAACAAGAAATTAAAGCGAGAATTGCTCAAGCTAGGGATAGTTTCTTTAAGATGCGCGTTCTATTCTTCGATACACATATAAATATTAAATTGAGATTAAAACTTGTAAAATGTTTTATCTGGTCTGTTCTTCTCTACGGAGTCGAAACGTGGACTTTAAAAATAAAGAGCCTGAATAGAATCGAGGCATTTGAAATGTGGGTGTACCGTAGAATTTTAAAAATTCCTTGGACAGCACGAAAAACAAATGAAGAAGTACTAGCTAGACTCAATTTAGAAAAAGAACTATTGAGAACGGTCAAAAGAAGAAAAACCAGTTATTTAGGGCATTTGTTGCGCAACGAGAAATACTACATGCCTCAGTTGATAATAAAAGGCAAAATAGAAGGAAAACGAGGAATTGGAAGAAAAAAATTGTCCTGGGGTTACGTAATATCAGAAACTGGAGAGGACTTGGATTTGAGGAACTCTTAAGAGCAGCTGAAGATAGACAAACGTTTGCCACCATAACCGCTAACCTCCATTGATGGAGACGGCACTTGAAGAAGAAGATACAAAATATTCTAAAAATAGAGACATTATTCTATATGCCGGTAAGTATGTATATTCCAAATTATATTGTAATAGTAAAAATATTATAAAGATGTATATAATGTATATATACTAAAAAGATAATTACTATTTAAATGGGAATAAGCCACAATTAAGTTTCAATTTCCACTTCAGAAATCGTTCTCAAAATACAAACATTAGTAAATTAAACAAATTTTGTTTTTTTGTTACTAAGTGAAAAGTTCTTCTAACAATTTAATTTTATCTGACTCATTTATATTAACAATTTAGACATACATTATACATTTTAAAGTAGACGACTTTAAAATGATATTGCCAATATTGTTGAGTTGCGCTCTTGGGACGACTTCACTTATAAGATAGTTCATACGATTACATGAAATCAACTTTAACTTGAGAATATCCGTCAGAAAAAATCATAGCATGTAATTCGTCTTTAAAAAGACAAAGACATGCCATGATGACAGTAAAATTCTCCTGTTAGTGATTCCATAGTAAATTTAAGGGAACAACCAGGAAAAAAAAACCTCATAATACTATCCCGACATGGTAAGTATTTGGTCGTGCCTTTAGTTTACCTTCAATAAACACCAAATTTTGATTTTATATGTTTGTTATTTAAAAAACATAAATGATGTATCCTCCATATATTACTGACTTACTAATAGTGGTATTTTCTTTTTAATAACTTCCTCTCTCAATATGGGTAGCCAGATCCTAGTACATTCTGCCGACGAATTTGCGACACAATTGGTCTCATTTAGCATAATTAGAGCCGCTTCTTTGATTTTTCTCTTTTTACGATCCGTTTCTTTTAGGACTATATTTGAATCATTCCATTGAACCCTATGTTCATTATCCCATGCGTGTTTACATATTTGAGATCTATCAAATTCTCTATTTTTTATATAAGATGATGTTCACCTATTCTAATATTTAATGGCCTTGATGTTTCACCTAAATAAATGCTGTCTCATACTAGGTACACATTTATGTAATGTAATATATTTTTATTTTAGATTTGATTGATACAGACTAAAATAAAGGTAGTGTTCGCTTTCCAATATAGACTTAAAAATTTTCTTTTAAAGAAGAAACTTTGTCACAATTCTCTTTAAGTAATTCAGTCTGAACGAGTATTATTGTGAATGATGTTGTTCATTGCTCTCTATCTCGAATACTGTCTAATGATTTTTGCAGTTTCTATAAAATAATTAACAGGTAGTAAAGTCCAGACTCTTCTTATCCTTTTTCATTTCTCCATGAATTTATGGCTATTTCTACTTCCTGAAAATTGATTTCTATTTCGTGTCTTAATTCAGGTAAATTATTGTGTTGATTATTATTTTCCTTTGCTTTAAACAGTTCCGTCGGGTATCTTTCCCATTCGTTTGTTGGTATGTTATTGTATTCCTTCAATTCTGCCATTTCTTTTTTTTGGTTTCTTATGACTCTCCATATTTGTTTTTGTGTGCCGTAGGAGTTGCTTTCTATCCTTTTTGCACCTGACTGAAATTGGGGTGCGTTTTCGATATAAAATCATCAAAATTTGGGGAAAAAACAAATATTTTAAATCAAAAAATTATAATTTGGGACATAAAAAGGTAAGATTGGTTTAGGAAGAAATAGTAGAAGGGGAAGTGATATATTTACTGTGTTTTTGAAAGTAGAGTGAAGGGTTTATCGGAAGATTAACATCGAAAGTAGAAACAGTTTTGCATCCCAAAAAGTTTTTTTACGATGAAAGAGATTAAGCTCTGTTTAAAAAGGAAGTAATTTTGTTTTTCGAAAGTGTTTGTTTTTAAAGAAAGTGAAAGCAGTGGTGGTTTCTCTGATCGAGATGAGTGGGGCAATTGATGGCAACAGCATTTGTAAGCACAACAAGTTTTGGTTAGGACGAGAGAACAGGATTCGGTTTTTGAGAGCAGATCCAAGAAAGAAGGTTAGCGAGTGAATCGGCAAGAGGGTTCAGGTCATTTTAGAATAATAATAAAGAGAGAGTTCAGATAAACAGTACAGGTCTTTTAAGAAAGATAATGTTTATTATCCCATGCGTGTTTACATAAACGTAATTTAAACTTTAATTGTGGCTTATTCCCATTTAAATAGTAATTAATTTAAAATGTCACAAGAACATACCTTCAGAACAATACTAAAAAGAAAGTTTAAAAATACTTATTATTTTATCTATTGTTGTCTTATAATAAATAATAATTCACCTAAATAATAATTTTTATACAAAATAAATAATTACATTGAAAATGTTCAAGCACAATAATAAGTACAGTCTGATTAGTACAAAAGTTACTTAAATTTAGAAATATCTCTACAATTAGGATGTTTAAACTAAAATTTGAATTTGCTTCGGCTAAAAAATTTTGACAATTTCAGAAAAAAAATGTAAAACGACAAATAATATAAAGCCATGGAAAGAAGAGGATTGGAAGACGGAGAATGGGAGGACAAAGAGGAATGGAGAAAATGGTTGAGAGAAGGGAGACAGCGACATTATACCTACGCGTCCCGCAAGTCAGACGAATTTATTGATTTACGGTATACGGATTTACGGAGTAGGTATATAGATTTGTATTTTGTAGTTATATCATAAGTTAATTTGACTAAAACACAAAAACACAAAACATAAACACAAAAATATGTACCTTGCCTTGTTAGAGTATTAGCTTCATTATTCATAGTCTGTTGATGGGCTGTAAGAAGGACGTTTCTGGTAATAAATGGATCAATCGTATTCTGAGATCTTCCTGACCTGTAAGAACCTAACCATAATTTTGATGCCTTAAAATTTCTATCTATGGCAGTTCTGAAATAAAAAAATATATATGTATTAGCTTATATTTGTGCAATGGTCGTAGAAAAACGACAAGTAGATAACATGAACGAAATAAACGTTGGTACAAAGTAGATTTTGCACGAAACAATATGTAAAAAGTTAACTATGTTTATATGGGATTAATCCTCAATTGATTGTATTGAAAATTTTTAACTAATGTTCGATTGCCACTCTGGTAATCATTAACAAAAGGATTATTTTAAATAAAAACAAGTTATTCTCTCCAGTATTCTTAGTGTCGATGATTGGTCACTTTTAGACCGCATTTTCTATCATCAAGCCGATAAAATCTTTCTTCTAAGCAACG